CCCAAACTGCTGCCAAACCGTGCCCTGGGAGGTACCAGGGATGTGGGAAGGGCTGCTCCCACAGAGCTGTGCCAGCCAAGCCAAGCACAGCCGTGCCCAGCAGCAACCCCCACGAGCTGCGTGGCACTGGGGGTCCCTCCCAGTGCCCTCCCAGCAGGGCAGTGAGCCCAGGCTGCCTCACCCAGGCGTCGGAAGCCCTCGGTGCCCGAGATGGGGCCGGGGGCCAGGCTGTTCACACGGATGTTGTTGGGTCCCCACTCCACTGCGAGGTGTCGGGTCATGGCATCTGGGGAGGGATTGCAACAGCAGTGAGAAACAGGGAGCAGAGCCCTGCCAGCAACTTCCTTGGACGGGGAAAAAAAAGCCACAGAAGAGTCTGGCTGAGAGCAAAGGGCCCTGGAGGGGAGAAGAGCCTCATCCCAAACCCAGGCATGCAGTAACCACACCAATTCACCCCCCTTGCCCCTCCCCAAGGCATCTTCCATGACAGTATTGAGGAAGAATTGTCTTCTTTCCTGGCCCCACGAGGCTCAGAGCCCCAGCAGGGTGGGGGGAGGTACCTATGGCAGCCTTGGCAGCCCCAGCGTGCACCTGCAGGGCCTGCCCTCGGTAGCTCAGGGTCGCTGTGATGTTAACGATGACCCCGCCGTGGTCCTGGGGAGGAAAGGAGGTGTGGACTTAGGCAGGCAGCAGCACAAAGGGTCACAGAGGGCTCTGAGGGACAGGAGAGCTGGGCTTGGAGGGACAGTCACCCACAGGCACTGCCAAGCCATCACTGGGGCAGCTCTACCCACTGAATCTCAGGGCTGGGGCAGCCAGCAGGGCCCTGCTGAGAGGTGGGACATGCAGGGTAAAAGAAAAGGCCAAGGGACAGTGGCAGAGCTCGAAAGGGAGCAGGAGATCAGCTTCTCCAGGTGGCACAGCATGGAAAGGTGCTGCAACAGCACAAAGCCCCAGGGCAAGGGACAGGAGGAGCCCCAGTTCAGGGCTGGGATCCCTGGAAGGGAACAGAGTGATCTGTGCAGGGAGGCTCTGGGTCCTTGTACTTCCCTGATTTCCCCAGGAGCACAGTGTGGTTTGACACTACCCCCTGCCTACAAGAGCCTCTCCTCAGAGTCCCCTGGCTCTGTGCCACTTACCCGAAAATATTTCTCAAAGAGCACTTTGGAGGTGTTGAAGGTGCCCATGGTGTCGATGTCTATCACTGTCTTGAAGGCGTTGAAGGACAGGGCACTGGCTGGGCACAGGAAGTTCCCTGCAGCACCTGAACCACAGGGACAGGCAAGACAGGGCTGGGAGAGACATCAGGGCCCTTCTGGGACAGGGAGGGTGAGGAACCATGTCTGCATGCTGGAGAGCACACGGAGACAGCCCTGCTAAGGGATAAGCTGGTGGCTCTGGGTGCCCGGCAGCACAGCCAGCACGAGGGGAGCAGGGATGATCCACCCCTAGACAAACAGGGATGGCCATGCACCACACACAGATCTCTGCTTCCTCTGTGCTCCCAGGAAATCACCCTGCCCAGCAGCGAGCCCCAGCCCTGCCCTGTGCAGCCTCACCATTAATGAGGATGTCAATCCTCTTGAACTCCTGCAGCGCCTCGTCCACCGCTGCCGCGACGCTCTGCGGCTGCCGCACGTCCACGCACAGGGGCAGGCACTGCTGCCCTGTGGCTGCCACCAGCTTCTTCGAGGCCTGAAAGAACACAGAGACCCTTGAGAGAGCCTGGCTGCACCCTGCTAGCCCTGGGGTAGCCAGGGAAAGCTCCTGCATGCTGCATTCCAGTCACAATGCATGGGCTGGCTACGCCCAGGTGCCTGCACGGGCTGCTCTGGACACAGCACAGCCCAATCTCTGCAGGGCAAGTACAAAGGTTGGACCCCAGCAAGGCATTCTTGGCATGAGCCCAGGCACGATCACCCTTTAGATCCAAAAAGTCAGTGGGCAAAAGGGCAAGGACAGAGCAGCCAGGCGTCAGGCTGTGAGACAGACCAGCTCTGCAGCTCAGGGTTTGTCACAAGCCACCCCTACGGCTCATTAAGAGTATGATCTTCCCCAGCAAATTAAGCACAGGGGACACACAGGCTCAGCAGCAACTCCACACAACACCCAGAGCTGCTCCAGCTTCTTTTTTGGCTCTGTGAGAGGTCTTGGACCCCAGCAACACACAGGTGCATGAGCAGCTGGAGTCCTGGACTGCAGATTCTGTGGCCTCAGAAGACTCTGGCCCCTGAGGACTAAAAACCTGCTGAGCCAGCTTCTTCTGGCACATGAGCACGAGGGGGTGGGAAATGACAGCCACCCCTTGCACCCTCCCCTCTGCCCCAAAACACAGGATACCTGTGCAACCCACAAGCCACACCGCCCCTGGGTCTGCTCCCACTCCACGCTGAGCTTTCAGTCCAACCTTGGGCTCTGCCCTGCTGACAGACCTCCCCCACAGCTCACTTCTGTCTCTCTCCCCCACAGAAAGCAATCAGGATCATGGAATAGCCCCCACAATGCAGGTTCCAGGTTAACAGAGCTGTGCAGTGGGTGCAGCCCCAAACCGTCGGAGTGCCCGGGGCTGGCAGGCTGGGAGGCACTGGGGGGCACTGGGAGGCACTGGAAGGCACTGGAAGGCACTGGAAAACACTGGGAGGCCATTCCTCGTACTGCACTACTCCCAGGGCTCGGCCCCACCGGGAGAGAGCAGGATTTCGGGGCTCGCAGGCTGCTGGACTCACCTCGGTCAGCCGCTGCAGGTTCCTGCTGGCAATGACGGTGCGGCAGCCGTGCCTGCAGGGAAGGCGCAGCTGAGACGGGCCGGGCTCCGCAGCAGCACCGCGGGGTCACCGCGGGCCCGGCTGCTCCCGCAGGCCCGGAGAGGCAGGGCCCGGCCCCGAGCCCCCGGGCCGCACCCCGGCTCCTGCAGGGCCGGGCAGCGCAGCGGGACAGAGAAGAGAAGGGGGTGAGCAGGAGGGAGGAGCAGGGAAGCGAAGCGAAGCAAGGGGCAGCCCCGCCGCGGGCCCCGCACCTCATGAAGATCTCGGCGATGCGGAAGCCGATGCCGGAGCCGCCGCCGGTGATGAAGGCCACCTGGCCCCTGTGGGACAGAGGCACGGTCAGAGCCGGGCCCGGGAGGCGCCCCTTGGCCCCCGAGCGGCGGGACTCACGCGAGCAGGTCGGGGCTGAGCAGGTGCCGGTACTGCCGCAGACACTCGTCCCCGGCCTCGTCCGGCGGCACCGGCGCGGCCATGGCGGCCTCGGCCATGGCGGCGCGGGCGCTGCGCACTGCGCCTGCGCGGGCAACGCCGCCGTCGCCTGGCAACGGGGAGCGACCCGCGACACAGCGACACCGAGCGGCCAGGGCGGGAACTGCAGCGAGGGGCCACAGTGAGAGATCCCAGAGATATCCCAGAGATATCCCAGTGAGATCCCAGAGAGAGATCGCAGTGAGAGATCCCAGTGAGATCCCAGTGAGATATCCCAGTGTTATCTCAGTGAGCTCCCAGTGCTGTCCCAGAGCTGTCCCGGAGCTCTCCCAGTGCTCCCAGTGCTATCCACACACAGCGGTGTCCCGGTGCTTTCCCCAGTGTCCCAGTGGCCCCAGTGCCACCCAGTGGTGTCTCGGCGTTTCACAGTGACATCCAGCGGTGTCCGGTGCCACCCAGCGGTGTCCCAGCGGTTCCCAGTGCCGCACGGAGTTCCCAGTTTCACAGCTCAGACCCCACCCTGATCTCCTGCAGAGCCCCTGCCGCCCCCAGGCACAGCCCCGCTCCTCGCAGGGCCCCCCAGTACAGCTCCAGTGCTCCCGGGGGCATCCCAGGGGCTTCCCGAGCCTCCCAGTACAGCTCCAGTGCTCCCGGGGGCATCCCAGGGGCTTCCCGAGCCTCCCAGTACAGCTCCAGTGCTCCCAGGGTTCATCCCAGCTCATCCCAGAGCTTCCCATCCCAGTGAGAGATCCCAGTGAGAGATCCCAGCGAGAGATCCCAGCGAGAGATCCCAGCGAGAGATCCCAGCGAGAGATCCCAGTGAAATGTCCCAGATATATCCCAGAGATATCCCAGAGATACCCCAGAGACATCCCAGTGAGAGATCCCAGAGACATCCCAGTGAGATATCCCAGTGTTATCTCAGTGAGCTCCCAGAGCTGTCCCAGAGCTGTCCCGGAGCTCTCCCAGTGCTATCCACACACGGCGGTGTCCCGGTGCTTTCCCCAGTGTCCCAGTGGCCCCAGTGCCACCCAGTGGTGTCTCGGCGTTTCACAGTGACATCCAGCGGTGTCCGGTGCCACCCAGCGGTGTCCCAGCGGTTCCCAGTGCCGCACGGAGTTCCCAGTTTCACAGCTCAGACCCCACCCTGATCTCCTGCAGAGCCCCTGCCGCCCCCAGGCACAGCCCCGCTCCTCGCAGGGCCCCCCAGTACAGCTCCAGTGCTCCCGGGGGCATCCCAGGGGCTTCCCGAGCCTCCCAGTACAGCTCCAGTGCTCCCGGGGGCATCCCAGGGGCTTCCCGAGCCTCCCAGTACAGCTCCAGTGCTGCCGGGGGGATCCCAGAGGCTTCCCGAGCCCCCCAGTACAGCTCCAGTGCTCCCAGGGTTCATCCCAGCTCATCCCAGAGCTTCTCAGCACCATCCCAGTTTCCCACAGCGCTTCCCAGTACAGCTCCAGGGTCCTCCAGGAACAGTCCATGGACACCCAGAGCTCCTCAGAGTCTCCCAGGGACATCCCAGTGCCTCAAAAGGCTTCCCAGTACCAACCAGTACCTTCCACGGATGTACCAGGGACATCCCAGAGCTTCCCAGTACAGCCCAGTACGCCCCAGGGTCTGCTGGGGTTTCTCAGTACCACCCCAGTGCCTCCCAGAGCTTCCCAGTACATCCCAGTGCCTCCCAGTACCACCCCAGTGCCCTCTGGGGACATCCCAGCGCCCTCCATGATCACCCAGTGCCTCCCAGTACATCCCAGCGCCTCCCAGAGCTCCCAGGTGACATCCGAGGGAGCAGACCGGACTCAGAGCTGGGGACACCGGGGTTTATTGGGGGCGGGGTGCCCCCGGCCGGCCCGACCCTAGAGCCCGTAGATGTTGTCCCTGTCGCTGCTGTCCCAGGCCACCAGCTCGTCCCGCCGGAACCAGAAGCCGATCTCCCGCTGGGCCGCCTCGGCGGAGTCGCTGGCATGGACCACGTTCCTGCGGGGGGACAGCGATGGGGACAGTGCCACCGCCCTGGGTCCCGCCCCGCGGCCCTACCTGGTGATGTGCACGCTGAGGTCCCCGCGGATTGTCCCCACGGCGCTGCTGTCCCCAACCATGGCCCGCGTGCACCGCACCACGTTGTAGCCCTCCCACACCTGCGGGACAGGGACAGCGACAGGGACAGGGACAGCTGAGCCCCCCGCGCCCCCCGGGCTGGCCCCTCACCATGGCCACCACCGGCCCCGAGGTCATGTAGGCGACGAGCGCGGGGTAGAAGGGCTTCAGCCGCAGCTGCTCGTAGTGCCGCTCCACGAGGCTCCGGTCCGCCTGGGCAGCGGCGGTGACGGTGACACCGGGCCGCGTCCCCCGGGCAGCCCCGCTCGCTCCCCGCGGGCCCCGTACCTGGAGCAGCTTCATGGCCACCAGCTGGAAGCCGCGGCGCTCGAAGCGCTGGATGATGTCCCCGAGCAGCCGCCGCTGCAGCGCGTCCGGCTTGGCCACCAGCAGCGTCCTCTCCTGCAGCGCCGCGGGGGCTGCGCGGGGCCGCGGGCCGTGTCACCCCCGCGTGGGGACACAGGAGCCCCGGACACGGCAGCAGGGCCCCGAGCTGTCCCCGCGGCACCACGGCTGTACTCGGGCCCAGGCTGCCGATGGGAACCCGCCCCCATCCCTGTACCTATCCCTGGCCCCATCACTGTCCCCGTTCCTGTTTCCATCCGTGTCCCCATCGCTGTCCCCACCCCTGTCCCCAGCCCATCCCATCCCATCCCATCCCATCCCATCCCATCCCATCCCATCCCATCCCGGGGCGTGTCCCCTGGCCAAGCTGTGCCTCTCAGGATGCTGGGGTCCCAGGGGACGTGTCACAAAGCTCTGACGGGTGTTGGGGACATATCCGTGGCCAGGAAACACAGCCTTTAAGCCAGGCACGTCTGTGCCGAGTCCCCGTGCTGGGGACTGTCCCGTGCCTGGCCCCGGGGCCTTCCCCCGGCCCGGTCACAGCGCTCCGCTGCTGAAGGGGAAAATCGGGGACCGAGGCACGGCAGGGTCCGGTCCCGCTGTCACCCGAGGCACAGCAGGTCTCACCCCGCCGCTGGCCCTGCCGCGGCTGCGCCGCAGGAGGGGACAGAAGCCCCAGGGGACAGCGCATCCCGTCCGCCGGCGGGACAGAGGGGACAGGAAGGACGGGAAGGGAGAGGGGGAGAGGAGGAAGGGAGAGGACACTTCACTGCCAATCCCTTCGGGGACCCGTCCCGGGCCGCGGGGCCGGGTGGCCCCGGTGCCGGACAAACCGAGCCCGTGAGCTCACCCGGGCACTGCAGAGCCCGGCTCGGCTCTGCCAGGGCTCTGCCCTGTCCCTGTCCTGCCCTGTCCCTGTCCCCCGCACCGGCGTCCCCCAGCACCTCCCTGGGGACACTGAACCCCTTGGGACTTCAGGGAGCGCCAGCTCCGGCCTCTGTCGCATCGCGGCACACGGGGCTGGGGACAGCAGGGCCTGGCACTGACTCGCCCCACAAAGGGGCCACAGGAGCCGTGAGCCGCCACCCGCCCGGCACGGAGGGACCGGGGACACTGCGAGGGGATGGGGCAGCGAGGGGACAGGGCGGGAACAGCAGCGCTGAGGGGCAGCACAGGCAGGGGACAGGGGACAGGACGGGGATGAGGAAAGGGTCCCCAGGGACAGGACAGGGATGAGGAAAGGCTCCCCAGGGAAGGACAGGGATGAGGAAAGGGTCCCCAGGGAAGGACGGGGAAGGGGCTGAAGGCCCCCAGGGATGGGGACCAGGTTCTCTGGAGCAGGGGTGGGTACAGGGTCCCCAGGGGCAGGATGACGGTGGAACAGGGTCCCCGGGGCAGGACAGGGACGGGGCCGTGTCTCACCGGAGCCGTAGCAGCGGGGCCCGGGGAGGCTCCGGGCCAGGCAGCGCCCCAGGGAGCCCATGGCGGCCCCGGCGGCTCGGAGCCGGGCTCGGTCGGTCTGCCGAGGCTTTCAGGGCTCGGGGACGGGTCAGGATTCCGTCCCTCCCCTTAAAGGCCGCCGCGCCTGCTCGGGACCTCCCGGGACAGAGCATCCTCCCCATCCAGAGCATTCCAGCACGGAGCATCCTGACAGGGAACATCCCGGGCTGGAATCCCAAGCCCTGTGGGGTGGGAGCTCAGCCCACACCCAGCCCGAGGGGAGCCAGACCCTGCCAGGACCCAAACATGCCTCTGCAGGGTCTGGCCAGGTCAGCCCATGCCAGGCTGAGCTCAGGCACAAGGGAAGCCCAGCCCTGGAGCAGCCAGGGCACTGTCCCCTGTGGGCACAGACCTGCCCTGGACACAGCGGGTACTGGGGAAGGGGTGCAAGGCCCTGGGGGCAGAGGAACTGCCCACGTGGGAGCCTCTGATCACCTCTCAAGGCCCATTCCAGACCCCAGTGTGGGGAATCACTCTGAACTGGGCTTCCCTGCACTCAGACACCTCATGGGAGAGCAGCCTGACAGGCTCACGGAAAAGCCTGGCTGCTTGGAGCCCGTCTGCCACACCTGTGCTGACCTGAAGGACTGAGGAGTATCCTGAGGGCTGGGCTTGATCCCACTGTCCCTGTTACCACCCTGGCACAGGGAGGGGGGGACAGAACCCCTGCCACAGCCTGGGGGGCTCTGGGGACTGGCTGTGCTCAGCACCATGGCAAAAAAACACCCCAGTGCCAGCCCATGGGCAAAGGGATTCAACAGGTTGTGGAAAAGAGAATTTTCTGGGCCCAAACAAGGGGCTGGGCGTGGGGAAAGGCCCCTCTGCAGGGTCTGCCAGGCCAGGGGGAATGGGACAGAAGGGTGGCAAAGGGGAAGAGGTTTTAGGACAAGGGGTGGCAGATTGGAGCCTGGGCTTTGACCACCTGGCAGCTGCTGGCATTGACCAAGGGAAAATCTACTTTCACCTTGTGTCAAGCCAAGAAAGAAGCAGCATGAGTGTGGAGAGCTGTGCTGGGATGAAATCCCTTCAGCCCCAAGGGGAGCCACAGGCAGGTGGTGCAGGAGTGGCTGCCAGCTTCCCGTGCCCCCAGTGTAGGGCAGAGCTGCTGAGGGTGCCCAGGAGCAGCTCAGGAGCAGGGCCAGGCTGCAGGGCCAGGGCTGGAGCCTGCACTGGGCGCTCGTGCACCGTGACCAGCAGGAACAGCAAGGACTCCAAGTCTCAGTGGAGACAGGGGCACTCCGAGTGTTGTTCCAGGCGTGGCTGGCAGGGAGCTTGGGAAGGGTGGGCCCAGCCATCACCCCCTTCCTCCCTTCTCCCTCAGCCCTCCAGAGGCAGCTCAGCCCTCAGCTGCACGGGCTGCAGCAGTGAGGCACATCCTGGGCATCTGGACTGCTCCAGGGCAGGGAGCCCAAACATCCAGGTCAGAGCCTGGATGCAGGGAAGGCACAGATAATCCAACAGCATCCATCATCTCCCCATGACAAACGGGCACAGGGAAGGGGCCTGTCCACAAACTGAAACACAGGAACCATGGAGGGAGTGCTGCCCCACTGCAGCTCACCCCTGACACCTCCCAGCTGTCCAGGTGCAGCCACAACACATCTCCAAACATTCCCAGAACATCTCCAGGAGTGCTCCCTTCCCAGAGCCTGCTGCTGCTCCTGCCACTGCAGCTGCCCACTTAAACACAGGGAATTAAGAATGATTCCACAGAATCATGGAGTGTTTGGGTTGGAAGGGACCTCAAGGCTCATCGCACCCCTGCCATGGCAGGGACACCTTCCACTGTCCCAGGCTGCTCCAAGCCCTGCCCAGCCTGGCCTGGGCAGCCACAGCTGCTCTGGGCACCCTGTGCCAGGGCCTGCCCACCCTCCCAGGGAGCAATTCCTTCCCAGTATCCCATCTAACCCTGCCCTCATTCAGCCTAAGGCCATTTCCCCTTGTCCTGTCACTCCATGCCTCTCAAATTTAATCTATTAAACATAAAAATTAGGACTGATATAATACTGCTTCCTGACCAGAGACCTCAGGGAGAAGAAATCATTCCCAGCTGCAAGATCAGAGATCCACTAGCCCCACACAACCTGTCCCTGCCTGACTGGTGTCTGGGGTTTCACCAGACAGATGCCACCACTGGGGCACTGGGCAGAGGGTGAACTTCAGCTCCAGGCTCCCTGGAATGGGGGATTTCCTCCTGCAGGCACTTCATGCTCCATTCAGACACGTGTGCTGGAGGGGATGAATGGATCACCACAACATGTGACAGAAATCACAGGTGGAGAACAATGAGGAGACAGCAGAAGAAGCCACCACTGATCTGCACCTTCCAGAAGCTGCTGGACTTGTTGGGATCCTTGTTGGCTGCTCCTCATTCCTGATCCTGGGAAAAGCTGTGGATCACTGCCTGTTCATTTCTACAAAATGACCTAGAGGGAAACAAACCCAGCCCCCAGTTATTTAAAACAACAAAGTAAGCACTTTATTCCCATTAAGCATGTTGTTTTAGTATCACAATGGAATGATGAGAAAACGTTTAAAAAAAAACCCAAAAAAAGTCTCTAAATCCCCGCCAACATCGGGGAGGTTTTCAAGGCAATTTAAAAACAAAGGGAGTGACAGAAGTGCCAAACCAGTCCCAACGTCCGGAGACTCCTCCGAGAGCTGGGCGGGGCAGGAAGGTGGAATGACACGAAGGTACGAATGTCTGAAGTGGTCTTTGGCGCTTCTGCCTCGCGTTTGATACGGACATGATGTCTCCAGACACCTCCAGATGCAACAAAGTGCTACGGGAGCAGAGGGAAAGCCCCGGGAGAGGATTTCCCGGCAGTCGGGACGGCCCGGGGCGGGCGTTAAGACACATCCTGCGGGCTCCAGGGCCTCGGCCGGGCAGGGAGCACTCGGAGGGCGCGGTGCAGCCCGGCAGCGCCCGGCAGCACGGGCCGTGCCCGGCAGGGGCAGTCCAGGGCGGTCACTATAACTTCACAGTGCCCGGGGGCAGGCTGTCGTTGCACAGTCTGTAATAGCGCAGGTCGTTCACCAGCCTGTGCACGTTCTGTGTGAACGAGGGCAGGTCCTGCAAGGGAGAGAAAAAACTGCTGGGAAGGGACAGCAGAGAGGGGCAGGCACCCAGTGCACAGTGCACAGATCCACCCCACTCAGTCTGAGCCCAGGGAACTGCAGCTTCTGGGGCAGGGATGGTTTCAGAGCCGACTGCAGGGATCCAGGCTCTGCTCCCACCTCTGGTTTCTCACTGTGCAGTGAGCCCCCAGAGCAATGGTCATGGAATCATGGAATCATGGAATGCTCTGGGCTGGGAAGGGCCTTAAAACTCATCCAGGGAGGGATGAGGCAGGGACACCTCCCACTGTCCCAGGCTGCTCCAAGCCCTGCCCAGCCTGGCCTTGGGCACTGCCAGGGATCCAGGGGCAGCCACAGCTGCTCTGGGCACCCTGTGCCAGGGCCTGCCCACCCTCACAGGGAACAATTCCTAATTCCCAATATCCCATCCAGCCCTGCCCTCTGGCAGTGGGAGCCATTCCCTGTGTCCTGTCCCTCCATGCCTTGTCCCCAGTCCCTCTGCAGCTCTCCTGGAGCCCCTTTAGGCCCTGGCAGGGGCTCTGAGCTCTCCCTGGGTCCATCTCTCCCCGCCTGGCTCCATGGCCAGATGCAGCACTAATTCCTTGCTGCCCTCCTGCCAAGGCTCCTGGGTGTTACACACTCCCTAACTGGAGCTGGTATTCCTGAAGAACAGTTACCTTCCAGAGCCAACCAATTCCCTCAGGGCTCCATTCCTACCCTCCCCCTTGGTCTCAAATTCCCATCTCCTCCCTCAGAACAGGGAGCACCCAATGGACAACCCTCAGTCAATGGAAGCCAGAACCTGCTGCTCTGCCATGATATTCCACACATTTCCTTCCCACACACGAGGGGTTTGCAGGGATTGTGAGCCTGTGCAGGTACTCTGCTGTCCCTACTGTAACCCTCAAACATCTGGCCAGCAGCTGGATCAAGATTCAGGCAAGGAGCTGAGCGTCCCACTTGGGAACACATCAGCCCAGTGCAGTGAAACCTTCCTCCAGGAAGCACCTTCCCTGACTCCCACAGCACCGTGCAGCCTGAGGGGTGATGGCAGCTCTGCTGCCTGCTCTGAGAACCCCATGGCTGGGGATTGCTGAGCATGGAAGTGCTGGGAGCAAAGGCACTGCCCGGAGACATCACCAGCGCGTTCTGGGGGAGCACTGTGCACCCTGGCAGCACCACAGTGCTGCAGGCCCCTCCTTACCCTGTCCATTTTGAAGTTCCTCCCCAGCACGTTCTTCTGGTTGGAGTCCACGCCGTCGCAGCTGGCCAGGAACTCGGGCAGGAAGGCGGAGTAGAAGCCATCAAAGTCCACCGAGGCCATGTTGTAGGTGGCGATGCCGATCTCCTCCTGCAGCAGGTCGTGGGACTTGTGCACCAGCACCTGCAGCAGCACGTTCACAAACTGGAACAGCATCGTGGTCCTGAAGATCTTCTGCACGGGGAGAGGGTCTCGGGGTTAGGGGAATTCACTTCTCCCACAGGAGGACAAATCCAGCAAGGACAGAGGAGCCACAGCTCCAGCAGCATCTGCACACCCTGCTGAGCACTGAGATGATTTTTAAAGCCAAGCCAGATCAAAAATGGCCAAAATAAGCTCAAATAGTATCAGCTTGAGAGTTAACATTGAATTTGGCCACACTTACCTCATGGTTTGGGGCTCCAGGGACACCTCAGAGCCCCTGCCAGGGCCTGAAGGGGCTCCAGGAGAGCTGCAGAGGGACTGGGGACAAGGCATGGAGGGACAGGACACAGGGAATGGCTCCCACTGCCAGAGGGCAGGGCTGGATGGGATATTGGGAATTAGGAATTGTTCCCTGTGAGGGTGGGCAGGCCCTGGCACAGGGTGCCCAGAGCAGCTGTGGCTGCCCCTGGATCCCTGGCAGTGCCCAAGGCCAGGCTGGGCAGGGCTTGGAACTCCCTGGGACAGTGGAAGGTGTCCCTGCCATGGCAGGGGGTTAAAAATAAATAATCTTTACAGTCCCACCCAGTCCAAACCATTCCATGATTCCATGCTCTGACCCAAGTTTTAAGCATTGGCAAAGGCACCAGTATCAAGTCCCACTCCAATTCCAGCCAGGTGTTCCTGCACAGTGCTCTTGGGAGCCAGGGAATGTGGCCAGGGGCCTGAAATCTGCCCCAGGCTCCTGTGAACACCAAGGGCTGCCCTTCAGGTGTGACCAGAGATGAAAAACTGCAAACTCTGCTTTCCCAGGCTGACCAGGTTCCCTGGATTGCAGATTTAGTCCGGCAGCCAAGGATGGGTTACAGGGCCTGGAGGATGGGTCCATAGAGATGGAGACTCCCAGTGCAGTGAGCTGGGACAGCAGACACCTGCAGCTGCCCAGGAGGGAATGCTGCAGGCACTCACTGAGCCACTGAGGGTCCAGCTGCTCCTTCCCCAGACACCTCACTGTCACTGCCTGTCCTCTGCTGTCCCTCACTGTCAGAGCAGGGAACACATCCAGCCTTTGCCTGACTGCAGCTGGGATCCCTCCCATTCCCAGTTCCCAGTACCAGGGGGGTGCTAACTCCATTCCAGCCACCCAAAGGCTGCGGCACAAACCCCCAAATCCTGACCTGGACTTCTGAGTAGTTTAAAAGCAGTCCCAGGACAGCTCCCACCTCTTGCCATGGCCAGAGAGCACAGGCCCAGGCAGGACCCACCTTGTGGTACAGCTTCTGCTTGGTGTTCAGTGTCTCCAGGTAGAAGAGGTTCTGCTTGAACAGGTGAATGTCAGGCTGCAGGAAAGACTGGCCAAAGGCCTGGGAACAAAGCACAGTGGGAGGAAGGGCATGAGAGCAGCACCAGCATCAGAGCTGCCAGGCAAAACAACAGCATTTTCACCCTGACCCCAGGACAAGCCCCAGGGCAGCAAGCTCAAGAGACAGGCAGGTCACATCACCTGTGCTGCCAGCAGGTGCACAGGGATGATATTTTGGTGGGAACATGGGCATATCCCTGCAGAGCTGGCTCCTCTGGGAACAGGCAGGCCAAGCTGGCACTGGAGAGGGCCAGGGATGCTGAGCCCAGCTCCCTGGGCAGCCAGGCTGCTCAGGAAGGGTAGGGCTGCTCCTCAGGGCTGTCACCTAAGGCACCCCAGCACGGGGGAACAGACCAGGACACAGCCCAGCTGGGCTCTCAGTCTCAGCCAGGAGCCCAAGCAGATGGCACTGCCCTGATTTAGGATTTGGAGGTGGGTCCTGGGAGCCTCTGCAGTGAAGAGCCCAGAACAAAACCTGCTGGTCTGGCAGGGCTGCAGAGTGTGTGATCAAACATCATTTCCAGCCTGAACACCTCCAAAACACTGCACAAGGGATGAAGGTGGGTGAGGTCAGCTCTGCGCAGACACAGGCAGCAGGATTTTAACAGCTCCTCCTCCTCCAGGCATTGTGAGCAGAAGGGTTTATTCTCCCACATGACCCATTTATTGTCAAATGGACAAAAATGACCCAGATCCCATCAAGACTGAGCCAGTTCTGGCCCTAGATCTCAGGTGGAAATCAGCATACAAACTGTTAATATCCTGCACACAAAGCCCTGGCTGTGGGAACACTTACAGAGCATTAAACAGGAGTTTTGTACCACAGCAACAAGAGCCAAGGAGTGAAACAAGCAGTGCTGTATTGTCACCCAGCCTGAACTGAGATAATTACATAAATATCTTCCAGAATGAGGCATTCAAAGAGTTTGGAAGTGTTACACAGCTACAGGTGAAAGAGAAGCTTGGACAGCCCTGCACAGGAACCAGCCTGGGCTTCAGTGACACCAGAAGGTGGCAGGAGAAGGGAAGGCCAGAGAGAAACATGGCCCAGTTTATGTCAGTGCAAGAGCTCCCTCTCCACATAGCACCACAGGGGACCCAGTTCCTCCAGGCACTCCACTGGGGGGAAACTCTCCCAAAGTCCTCCCACCTGCAGTCTAAGGTGAACTAGGAATTGCAAGGGAACTCCTCTGCCCAGCTCTGACTGAAGTAACACATGGAACAGTCTGCTGTTCTCAAAAATTGCAATATCCAACCTGAGAAGGTTGGAGCTGGCTCTGTGCAAATTCTGTTCCTGCCTACCAGAGCCTAAGGGGCTCTAGGAGAGCTGCAGGGGGACTGGGGACAAGGCATGGAGGGACAGGACACAGGGAATGGCTCCCACTGCCAGAGGGCAGGGCTGGATGGGATATTGGGAAGGAATTGTTCCCTGGGAGGGTGGGCAGGCCCTGGCACAGGGTGCCCAGAGCAGCTGTGGCTGCCCCTGGATCCCTGGCAGTGCCCAAGGCCAGGCTGGGCAG